CTATTTCAACATACGCTCAAAGTATTTTTTGTCATCTATTTTGAACTGAACTGAAGTTCAAGAAATATAAAACTTCGTTACCATCGAAACCATCGTGATACTTTGTTCTTTTCTTTACTTTACTTTACGTTTTCTCTTTTCGCAATCTGCTTTATGTTTTTCTTCAGTTAGTGTTTGCTCGATTGTTCTTGTATGTTTTTAATTTTGTTGTTAAGTTTTCATTAAAGTTATATTTAAATTTAGCATTTCTCATTTTTATTTATCTTTGGCAACAGTCTCAACTGAACACGCATACTTATAATAAACGCAACCGATTTCTCGCCAAAGTGTCTTTAACTTATAGGCATTTCTTACAGGAAATTCTATTGTACTTCATTACACGGTACCCCACCACTTAAAAAAAAATTTTGAGACTTAAAATTCGCGTCTTTAAAAGCAAAAGTAAAATCAAATCGAAACCGATAACGTCTCTTGTTGATGAACGATCAATAATTATTAATTATTTCTGTGTTTGAATGGTTATTCGTTGCGTGCTAATATATGCAAAGATTCTGTAAAGAGAAAGAAAAATTTCGGATTAAAGTCTGTTTTCTGTTTCGCTTTGCAGACAGAACAAACATGTGAAGCAATTTTTTTTAAATGGAAGCTGATTGATAATAGGTTTTCGGACTCAAATTTAAAGTTTTAAAAAGAAAAATCTTTAAAAAATTTTCCTATGTTGCTTGAATTTCATATTTTCCCTTTTTCGACTTAAATTATATGAATTACTATTAGATGAATATACGGATTTCGTAGAGGGAGAAAAAAAGTATAAATAAATCAATAATATACATAAATCATATTAAATAATGTAAAATAAATTAAGAAAATCAGAAAATAAGTCAGTTCTCAAAAACACTATGAAATCCTGCACTAAACAGCAAGATATACATGATCGAAATTAATAAACATAAAATCATTCCATTATTTTGCTTATTTGTTGTCTTTCCTAACCACTTCACGTTACTAGAATAAGAAAAACTCGTTTTTAGTAGTTCATCCCAGCAAAATTAACTCCATTCTGTATCATTTGGCGTGATGCTGTTGTTCACGTCCACCACAGTCAAAATATTTTAAAATCAAGCAATTTTTCAGGTACTTTTTGTGGCCCTTTTGATGGGCCGTAAAAGACCTATTTCAGTAATATCTTAATTAAAATTGCACTGTATTGTTACAGTCTTAATGCCTGCCATATATACTAAATAAAATATATATTATATTAATATACTCTTATATAGGTACAAAGTATTTTATGAGCAAATTTGATGCCGTTCCCAGCTGCACCAATACTACTGGTCATTTTTATTTTTATAGGATTTTTATCAGCCCTATATGAGTTCAGGAGAAAGTAGCTTGATTGTGATAAATTTTAAAGATCATGAGTTGCCTCTAGCAGCAGCACTGTGCCAGATGATACTGAATAGCAGTTAATTTTTATTCTGATGGGATGAACTACTGAATACATCTTTTACTTAATCTAATAACGCAAAGCCACCGGAAAGGGTAGCAAGTAATAAGAAGTGAAAAAATCTTGGAAATTACTTTAGCTTTTTTATTAATGTAGGTATTTATCGTACAGTTTTGTACACGATTTTGTTGTGCTGTTCAGTACTGATTTATGCTTATTTTTTCACCCGAAGAACGAAGAATGAGTATTCAGCTATTTAACAAATAAATTATTCCTCTCTTTCTAAAAAATTATGTAATTATTGTACGAAATTCAATGAATAATTTAACATTTATTATAAGTAAATAATTAAATTATATTTTGGAGCATATTTTAATTCATTGGAATGAGTTTTGCATTTTTTTAAAATTATATCATAATTTTAAAAATTTTCAAAAATACTTGTAACGTTCAATTTTGGTTTATAGGTTAAATAATTGTGTTATTTGGAACGAAAAATATATTTTAAAATGCTAACTAGTTACTTAATATAAGTAAGAAAAATGTTCGTTTCGTTCGCAGAAGATTACCATGAAAAAAGCCAAATCCCTTAAGTTTCATTTATGCAATTTATTTAAAATATTTATGCAATTATTGGAACCTAAAACAAGTAATCAAATCACTCTAAGCAAAAAATAAAGCATGATTTAGAGATTACATCAAGAATTCATAAAAATTTATTTAATAAGAAAAATAATACTCTTAATTTACATTGGTTTTATGGCTATTTTATCCCTTCTATCACTTTATTATTCATTATGCTAAGTAGGTATGATAGTTAAAATGCAAGTTGTCATAAATAATTTATTTTGCGCATTAAATTAGAATGATGTGCCAAAAATTAATGATTGAATAATATAAAAAATGATAAAAACATGAATAAGCTAGTTCATGTGCATCGTCCACTTTAACTATAAAAATGTCCACAAACCTTTTTTTAACAGGCAAGTAACAGATTCAGTACGATCTTACTGTCTTAGTAGCTCTATTGGTAAAGTTATATTGAGTACATTTTTTATTATTATTTTTAAACTTTTCAAAGAGGTTTCGACAAAAAAGAGGTTTCTGAAAATCCTATATATGGTATAATTAAATATATATATATATATATAAATT